TTCTGACAGCACTTCAGACAGCAGCTTTGTGCCCCGCCAGCTGCTTGTTCCATGCCTACCATGGTGTTTTTGTACAGACAGCACTTCAGACAGCATTATGCTGTAGTCGGCAATCTTCCGTTTTGGTATAGAGTGGGACAGGGAGGGGGTGATGCTACTGTAGTCGAACGGTGGGACGGACGTGCAGTTCAGTTTTTGGGCACGCATACGGTGCTGCAGGGATTTTTAGGTGTACCTCTTCGGGCTCTTGCATACCTTTTTCTCGTCAGATGTGTGCGTGTTCTTTAGATGCTCAGATGGCTCTAGCACTTTCGTGACCACGGGCTGAGAGTCTTTTGCTAGATTTTGGCATTTAGCAACTGACATACGGTTTAATGTGAAGACAAACAACAACAACAACAACGTCCCTCACTTCCTGTCTATGCATACATACATCCCTTCGCCTGAAACGGACTGACGGGCCTTTTTCGATGCCTCCACTCAACTCTGTTGTTGTTGGTGATAGTGGTGGTGGTTGATTGCTGTTGCTATGTGTACATAGCTGTTGTCGTCGTCGTTGTTGTCGCTGTTGCCGTTGTCTCTCACGTTTTTTCGCCTCATACCGTGGTACCAACGGCCGCCTTACTGATGTTGGGCGGCAGGAGACAGCCATCGTACCAATGCGGCGGTATCGACCATCCCAGCGTTGCCGCTGTTGCGTTGTTGTGGCTGTCGCGCGCGTGGGCATCGTCCCCGGCGCGCCCCTTTTTCTTGCGTTGAGCCACGTCTTCATCAGTTTGTGGGGCAGCAAGCGCGTGGCCGTCACAGGGCTCGCAGGGAACGGGATCTTTGCTGAGCTCGTTGAAGTTGACCTTACGATTCATCCACAACATGTCCGTCTGCATTTCTTCGTCAGTTGACGTGGCCGGCATTGACTGGAGCGGCCTCGCGAAGCTTACTGCATGGAGCGAACTCGAGATGAAACATCGGCCTTTCTTGTTGAAGTTGACCCCATCCCGAGAATCGAGCGAGCGGCCGTTCCATTTTATTATTGTTGTAGTGTAAACCTAACGAACCAACGCCATCCCCCCCCCCCCTTGGCGACACCGCCCCCCCTCGTTGTTTGCCATTGGGGTTGGGTTTTCGTCGCTTGGCAACTACGTTGTAAAACAAGCCACCCCCCCCGGTGTTTGCCATCGGGATTAGGTTTTCGTCGCTTGGCAACGACGTTGTAAAACAAGCCATTTCACTCCGTGAACTCGGCAACCAGGTTACCGTTTTTTTTTTACCTCCGTTTTTTTCTTGGCGGTAACCATAATGGTGGTCGAGTAGATCATGTTGTGCGGGGTGGAGAACCCTCACTCCGCGCAAGGGGGATGATCGCGCCACGTCGTGTTAAAATGGTCAAGCACCCTCGAGGCAGTTACACAGTGCTTACAACTGTCTCAGGAAGTGAAAGCACGAGAAAATAAACTAAGTCATACGCAGCTGTCATCCGTACGCAAGGAAGTAAGCACAAGATGCCGAAGCCCCTTAGCAGGATGCAGCGCACCCTTCATGCGACTCGCCGAATATCTCACGGCGCTTCGCGCTTGGTGATGTGAGAGCCTGGTCCGGTGAGAACCCGGCGTGCTCCGTCCCGGCTTTGTAGGGATGCGAGGTCAATGGTCTAACGACTACGGCATGCACGACTATGAGTACACCCCCCCCCCTTGGCGACACATGTTCATGCATGTATGAAACCAAAGTCGTGCATGTTACAGTATGTCAATATATTGTTGTCTGTTCGTTTGTGTTGAATCAGGTCAAGGAGGCCGAAGAGTACCTCAAACAAGCGAACAAGATGTTGACCAAGACATTGACACGGTGGAATCCCGACTTCTTCAGCGCCGCCCCTCTCTTCGAGAAGGTGAAATGTTGTCTTCCATGTTGGATTCTGTCTCTTCTTCGTTATGGTGTGTTTGTTGCGTTGGGTCTTCCCGTCCTTGGCGAAAAATAAATATATATATAGAGAGAGAGATTCATCACTAGTCTATGCTAGACTCTTTCCTTAGAGATGGGTTCATTGGGTCGTACTGACAAACTAAAAAAAAAATCATTGAGAAAAAACTCCAACACAGGTGTAGTGCCCGCTGGCGCCTGCACGCCGCACTTAGGAATTTCCAGCTTTTGCCAAGGGTGGGGTTCTTGCAGCAGTACAGCCGTAGTTCCTCTTGTGAGCTTCAAATGGCCGCTGTATAGTTGTAAGCGTGAGGGGTTGTTATCCGGGCTAACAGTGCGCATGTTTGATGCATTGCTGAGCGTTGAGTTCTTAACCGCCAAGTCCTGAACAGTGCGGTCGCTATATGTGGGCACTCTACGGGTTCACATGGCTGTTTATTTATTTGTTGTCGCAAACCATCACAGCATCACAGACCACATCCTTTGCTTGCGTATTTGTTGTGCGTTCATGCACTCTTGGACTATTCACACCGCGCTCATGGTGCCAACAACGCCGAGGCTGCATTAGCATGCAGTGTTTTCCCCTGTTAAATGAAACCAACGGACGAACGAGACACACGCCATGCGCTAAATAGGTTTGCACCTGAGTCTCTCTCATTGGACAAGGTTGACTGACTGACTTGTGACCCAGCTCTAGGCGACTTCTTGTTTTTCAGGGAAAAGTGCGGGCAACCAGGTGGGCTGCAGGATGTTGTGGTGGCGATGCTCTCCGCTGTCGTTTTGTTTGTTCATGTCGGTAACCACCACGTGCTGTTAAGGGTGCAACACACAGAGCGCCGGCAATCAAGCTGAAGCCACGGGGGTTGCACACACGAACGGCCCTGTGGGCGCGAATAACATGTGTGGCCGGCAAACTCACGACCTGCATGGGATTAAGCAGATTTATACCCGGTAGTACCGCCGGTTCATTTCTGCAGTCGCACAGCGTGCAACATCCGACAAAATCCAAAAGGAGCCGACGTGGTGCCACTGTCGTTATTTTCTCCCGTGAAGGTACCGTATATGACACAAGATAACACACCCCCTGGACCGATTTTCAATGCTCGATAATTCCACGACAAAGGAGACGCATTAATGAAATGATACATTCTCGAAAAGCTCTCGACGAGACGGTTTTAGTAGTTAGTTTTCGGCGCTGTGACTGCTCCTGCAGTTGAGAAGCCGAGCTTCGAAAATCGGCCCAAGGGGGTGTGTTATCTTGTGTCATATACGGTATGCGTGTAGGACGCAACAGCCGTGCAGCAGCACAAGCGCGTTTTCTGCGGGGCGCGTGTGAAGCGAAGAACTCATATTTTTGTCGTTGCCGTTCATTTTTTGTAGACACCGTGCGGATTTCTGCCGGAACAACCACAGGCGAACCTTGGTTAGTGTCAGGTGATGCAAGCCTATTCGATACCCTTGGTTTGTCCAGCAGGCGACAGCAGCCCCTGTTGTTGCTTCATGATACTGCAGTAGTTCCACGGTGTTTCTCGCGTGAAGTGGCATCGGAGGCGGGTGGTTTGCTTCGTTTGTATTTGAACGGGGGGAGTTGGAAGCGCTTGGCTCGCGCGAATGTTTGGCGCATGGGAGCAGCAAGGGTGGTTCCCGACATGCAATATATCCGTCGCTGAATGGTGGAGAAGAAGGGCACGAGAGGGGGAAGCTTGAGAACTCTCACTAGAGATAGATGTGCCGCTTGCGGTTCTTTGGTCTACATCCCATATATATATGCATATACATGTTACTTTCGTTATGTTCGGCACGGTCCTCCGGCTGTGGTGTGACCGCATCAGCAGTGAGAATACATGACTCAACCTTACCTGACTTTCGTAGTATCATCGCTAATAATCTTCCTGGCCACTGACATCCTCATCCAATGTATGCACATACATGCCGGGGGTGACATATTTTGTTTTGGCATTTTTCGAAGGGTTGATTGGGTATACTTGCTCTGGCCCGTACGCATGCGGCGGCTACGTAGTTGACATGGTCAACCTGCGGACGAAGCGGCTTGTCGAATCACACTCGGTTAGCATGGCTGGCTCCCTGCAGCCTGCAGACTCACAAGTAACGCCGCCGTTGCATTAGACGTTTGCCCACAGCAGATGCGTCCAGTGGTTGGACCACGAACGGATGCAACTCACACTTCTCCCCTCATTCTTTGTACCCTCGGAAATTTGCCACGGTTGTGCCCCTGAACGGTTTCCGCGCTCCGTCGACCTCTTGCCCACGGAGCGGCTTTGCCTTGGAGTTGACGTGCTGTCTTACCTCGTTTCTGCTTTCGTACGCAGCAGCCGCGCAGGCGGCACCCCCAATCGCCGTTCCGTCATTACCCCCGTCACCGCTGCCCCCCCCCCCGACCTCGTTTTTAGTTTTATTTTGGCTTGGTGTTATCCTTACCCATCAGTTGTTGATGGGTAGTCCCTATTTTTTGTCCTGCGTTGATATTGTTTTTGTTGCTCAAGCCTGAGTATTGACTTGCTGTCGACCACCACTTATTGTCTGTTGTTGCTCCTCTTATCCCTCCCTCCCTCCCTCCCTAGGCCGGAGCTTGCTACCGCGCCGCCGGCGAGGACGGGAAGGCAACGGCAATGTTCATGCAGGCGGGGGACTGCCAGTGCCACGACTCTGTCATGGCTCATGCGTCCGCAGCGAAAGACTTCAGGGAAGCTGCCCTTATCACTGAGAGGCAGGGCAGGTAATAACGCGTATTAGCAGCGGGGGG